AGACACTGGAGCGGTGTGCAGAAAATTAAAATATGGGTGTGGAATAAAGAGTGACATCACGATAGCACTAACCCAGGAAAGGACAAGTATACTGAGAGTAGATGATGATACTGGCATCAGCTGTGCAAAGACCAGGGTGAAGACCATTCCAAGGAGAGGGGACAGTCAGTGTAAAATCGCTATCACGGGGATGATCTCAGCATGTTTCAGGAAGATTTTCTTGAAGAAAGATAAGTGGCTCCGGGGTGAGAGGGGTCAGAGGTATGCAGAGTCCAGACCGTGCCAATTTTGTCAGCCAAGAATGAATATTGAACATTATTATAGGCATAATTGGAAGGTTCTAGAAAGTTTTAAGTCAAGAAATGACATGATGTTACTCATGTTTTAAAAAGATCACTCTAGATGTGAGTGAAGGACAGAGTGCAGGGGGCAAGAATAGGCATAAGGGGGAGAGCAGTTAGGAGGCTATTGTAGGTCCAGGTAGGAGCTGATAGTGGCTGAGACCAGGTGCCCCAGGGGAAATGGGGAGAAGCGGATAAATTGCAGGTATGAATTGGATGCAGAACGAACAAGACTTGCAGATGGAATGCAAGTGAAGGATGTAGAAAAAAACCCAAACAAACAGAATCAAGGATAACGCCAATGAGACTAGCTATTTTGTCTGGTAAGCATTTTTGGAAAGATAGCATGTTTGGGCACCTGTTAACGTACAAAGCATAGTGTGAATTTTTTTTTTCTGCTAATAATCATAGTATATTCCATTTATTGTGTACTTACCACGTGCTGGTCACTCTTTCCTTACTGTGTGTATAGGGCGGATACAAAGATGTGCATAGAATTAAATTCTATTCCTTTCACCTCACTTATTAAATTACAAAATGACCCATGTTTTCCATATGGCCTTTGCCCCTTTGAGGATTGCATTGCCAAGGAAACAGATTGTTAAGCAGAGGCGCTGTAGCTAAATCCTATTAAACGTGCAATAATTCAAACAAAACACACAAAGCCAACCAGCACTTGGGTTTGGAATATTGGCTTCCAAATGTCCCCCCTCTAATGCCTAACTATATACCTAATAATGTTTAGATGCCTGTCTAATTTTACCCAAAGTTCTGGACTTGTACATTCCTGCCCAAAATCCCTGCTCTGAATGTCAGAATTTTTAATTAATCTCCCCAAATGGTATTTTCGCATAATGAAGTCTCTGCATGCTGCTGAGTTCAGTAGCAGAAAGTAGACAAAAAGAACAGTAGACAAAAAGGAATTCTTTTCTTTTCCTCAGTCAGATTTTTCCTTTGTAAAACATAAAGCAAAACTGCTTAAATACTTGGATATGTTCAAATATAGCTGGGGAAAGTCCAGAATTAGAGATCTCAGAAGTAGAAGTTGTTTAGACATCAACCAGTTCAGATTCACTTTACACATAAGGAACCTGAGATTTAGAAAGATTGAATTATGTCTCCAAGGTCATGCAGTGTATAAAGGGGCAGTGCCAGGGCCAACCCCCACTTCCCCTGGCTGGTGACACAATGCTGTCTCTCTTTGTCTCAAGTTGTTCCTCTCACCACCCCTCTCCTAAGTCATCCTAACTACTCCTTCAGTATAAATTCTCCGCTTCCTACTCTCTCTGACCTACATCCTTCGTAACCCGGTCTCCCTCACTGGTCCGTATTGCTCATCCCTATCCTCTCCCTGCCCACTCCTCAAATGCAGCTTCTTATCCAAGTCTTATCTCTGAGCTCTCTGATCTTAACCCCATTACCATTTCTCTTACAAGATCAGTTCGTTTACACATCAAACGTGTTTCATACAAATGTGTCTCTGCAATCCAGCACCCATGGGTGTTGCTATCAAGCTGTTCTCACTTGATCCTGTCATCTCATTAAAAAACAAAACAAAACAAATCCAGTGGAGTGAGAAAAAATGTTATTGGAATTAATGTACCATGTATAGATAAATTCCTCTTAGGAAAATTTACTACTAAGCTTATTGGACGTGGAAGGTGAGTCCTTGTGGACATGAGATGCAAGGAGTCGGCTAGATAGATAGAACCCTCCCTCAGAAGTAATGAATGTCACTTTGGTAGTGCAAGTGAAGAGAGAAGAGAAAGAGAAGCAAGAGTATTGAGGAATACGGCATCAACCTGGAACCTGATTTGGCAGATATGGATACCACATTTTAAGAATAAGAAAACACAATACTCAAATTTAAGTTCTGCTCCCTCATGTTGCACCACTGTAAGTTTACCTGGCTGGTGCCCCTATGTCTCCAACTAAAGTCACTCGGAGATTTATATAAAAGGCATCCTGGAGGGCTGGCCACACGGCCGAGTGGTTAAGTTCGCGTGCTCCACTTCTGTGGCCCAGAGTTTCACTGGTGTGGGTCCTGGGCGCGAACATGGCACCGCTCATCAAGCCGTGCTGAGACAGCGTCCCACACAGCACAACCAGAAGGACCTACAACTAGAAGATACAACTATGTACTGGGGGGCTTTGGGGAGAAGAAGAAAAAAAATTGGCAACAGATGTTAGCTCAGGGCCAACCTTTAAAAAAAAAAAAGAACAAAATAAAATAAAAGGCATCTTGGGAAACACAAGAAGTGGTCTCTGTCTTGCATTTGGGTTGACACTAGGGTAAAGGGGGTGAGGGAAGACGTCAAGGCACAGAACGCAGAACTAAGATTCACTGAAGCTGGAAATTGAACCAGGGGTGATCAGAAGACATGTAAGCCCTTAACGGTTTGAACAAATCTTGGGAGAAAATTGAGCTTTGCACTGGAATTCCGATGGGGATTCAAGTCAAACTTATCTATATCTGAAGGAGCATGGGCCACAAATATATGCCAGGCACTGGGGATAGAAGGATGGAGATCTAATTCTTGTCCTCTAGTAGCTTGTAGGAAAGTACACCAAGACAGCGACGTATGGAAATAACTAAGTTACGAGGCAAAATTTGCTTAAAGACAAGAGCTGCTCACTCCTGTCCACTCTTGGTAGGGCACTTTATATACTTACGCAGTAAATGGGAGATAACTAACACAATGCTGGGCCAGCTTGGGTTGACCTTCACCAGGTAGACTGTTAGGAAGAGATTGCATCTTTCCTCAGCCCACTGAATTGGCTATTTGATTAGGAAAAGCTGCCTCTTTACCTATTTAGTTTTATTCTTTCATTTAATAAATATCTATTGAGCATCTACTTTTTTTTTTCTTTTTCAGGAAGATTGGCCCGGAGCTAACATCTGCTGCCAATCCTCCTCTTTTTGCTGAGGAAGGCTGGCCCTGAGCTAACATTCTTGCCCATCTTCCTCTACTTTATATGTGGGACGCCTACCACAGCATGGTTTGCCAAGTAGTGCCATGTCCACACCTGGGATCCGAACCGGTAAACCCTGGGCCCCCGAAATAGAACATGTGCACTTAACCACTATGCCACCGGGCAGGCCCCAAGCATCTACTTTTTGCCAAGCACTGTAGTAAGTGCTTGGGGCACAACGATGGACCAAAATTGAGATACAATCCCTCCATTATGGAGCTCAGAGTCCAGAGGAGGGGAGGGGCATCAATCAATCAGACAAGGGATGTGATGTTGTAACCCTGATGAGAGTTATGAAGGAGAGGTACACGGTAACAAGAGAACTTCCAACAGGGGAGCTGACCTAGTTAAAGTGCCAGAGGAGGCTTCTCTGAGAAGCTGAGATCTGAACGATGAGTAAGAGTTATCAATATGTGAAGGCAAATGGGAGATCATTCCAGATTGAGGGAGTAGCTCCTCAAGAGTCTTGTGGCATACATGAACTGAACCAAGGCCAGTTTTGTAGGAGTGGGGTGAGCAGGGAGGAGGCACATGGTATAACACACAGCTGGAGAGGTGGACAGGAGCCAGAACACAGGGCTTATAAACTCTATTAGTCTTTCTCATAAAAAGAATGGGAAGCCATCAAGGTGTCTCAAGGAAAGATGATCGTATTTAAATGTTGAAAAAAATAACTCCGGCTATAGAGGAAAATGGTGCAAAGCAATGGTTACCAGAGAGATATTTTGCAGAAGTCTTTGATGGCTTAAACAAAGTTGATGTCAGTAGAGATAGGAAGAACTAGATTTGACAGATATTCAGAAGGTAAATGCAATAGAATTTGGTGACAGTTTGACTGTAGGAGTATCTTAGTTTGGTTTTACCTAGAAACAAACTCTGAGACAAAGGCTCAAATAATTTATTGGAATATACAGGGCACATTGGTATGGGAGTGGGGAAATGAGACAAGGAAGGGAAGGTGGCCTCTAAAAAGAGAGGTATCAGGCTGGCCACCACAGTGGGCAGCTGGAGCCAGTGAAGAATAGTGTCTGAGAATTACCCCTCCCAAGGGGCGAAGAAACTGGGCTATTGATATACCAAATTCCACCAGTCATTGGTTGAGGTCTGATATGGGGGCTTTAATTTTCTGCCATTTCCAACCTGCCTGCTATGGATTTAGAAAAAGTCTTCAGGAACAGAGATGTAAGAATTGGCTGTTTGAAGTGGTCTGGAGCTCATGGCACTGGTAGGGCCAGAAGGATGTGGGTGGGGCACTGTGTCTGCTGTAGGGGGTAGGGGTGAGGGTGGTGTTGAGGACAACTCAGGCTCTTGGGTTAGCTACCGAGATAAGAAACACTGGAAAATGTGGCATACCAGGCACCGCCAGAACGTGGGAATGTCAACAAAGTACAGTCTCTGTCCTCATGCGACTTACAGTCTAGCAACTAAGCTGGTTAGTGAGAATACCCAAGGATGTTCTCCAGAGAGCTGGCGAGATTAGACTACTTGGTCCTAAGCCCAAGGGAATGACTAAATCTGATCAACTGAAGTTTGTGCTGGGTGCAGATCCCTGGATGGTCAACAGTGGACTGTTTCCATGTTAATCCTGAGACAGAGACAAAAGCTATTCTTCAAAACGGGGGGTGGTTTCAGAAGTGGGGGGTATTATTTTCCTAGAGCTAGTATAAAAAATTACCACAAACTTGGTGGTTTTAAACAACAGAAATTTATTCTCTCACAGTTCTGGAGGCTGAAAGTCCGAAATCAACATGTTGGCAGGGCCACACTTCCCTTGAAGTCTCTGGGGAAGGAGGCTTCCTCTCCTCTTCCAGCTTCAGGTGGCTCCTGAAGTGAGGAGCCTCGTTCCTTGGCCTGTGGCAGCATCACTCCAACCTCTGCCTCCATCTTCACCTGGCCTTCTTCCCTGTGTCTCTGTGTGTGTTGCTCAAATCTCCCTCTCCTTTCATTTATAAAGACATCAGCCACTGGACCCAGGATGATTTCATCTCAAGATCCTTCACTTAATTGCATCTGCAAAGAGCCTATTTCCAAAGAAAGTCACGTTCACAGGTATTGCAGGTGAGGACGTGGAAATATCTTTTTGGGGCCACTATTCAATTCACTGCAGGGGGCTAAGATAGATTGATATATGTTTACGACAGCTTAGGAGTTCTAGCAAAACTATTTTCAATTTATCATTTGGTCTGATGTTAGGCCATACAGATTTATAGTCAGGAAAAAAAAAATGTAGGTAACGTCTCAGAATGCTTTATGGGCTCCACAGGATGTAGCAGATTTAGAAGAAAAACTCCAGGCTGGTGGAAGGAGATGAAATGAGCCCAAAGCAGAATCTGTTCACAAATTAGTGAAGAAACACAAATGAATTAAGAAGGTGGAACAAAATAACCAGAAGGAAAACTTCAAGTTTCACATGGGAAATCAGAGAGAAAGAGAAAAACAAACAAAAAAGGGAAAAGAAGTGCCATAGACAATCTGGATGAAATAAGGAATAAAGGCTTGAAGACACAAAATGAAAAATGAGGAAAATTATAGTCAAAGAAATATCAAAGCAAGCCTACCACTATAAAATGAAAATTTATGGACTTGAGTATGAGACCTCAAAAAAAGATGTTTAAGTTGCTTCAGGAAATATTTCTTCATCTTCCAGTTGCATCTGGTAGAATCTCTGACATCACAACTACTGCCTAAGTTAAGACACAATTCCATCAACTATTGGCCAACTAGCCTTTAAACTCTGACTTCTTGGGCTTCTCATCAACATGCATGTGGGCCAAAATAGTCTTTGAGCACATATTATCTTCTGGCATAGTTCAAATTCTTTGGAACATCTAATAGACTTAGCTCGGTTATTTAAGCAGACTGTATAAGTCATAGATTCCTGGCCATCAAATTAGATGCTGCCATTAGGTTGGCCACTGACCACTGGTCCGTTCACCAGAGGCCAAGGGAAGTCAGCCTGATGGGTCTCATGGTGTGTGGATCTGTCCCTTCCAGGGTCATGGCTGGATTAAGCACAAAGATATACATATATTAAACAGATATACAAAGGGGTGCAATGAAGCAGTGTCCATACTATATAGTAGGGGTGGTTGGAGAAGTGGGCACAGAGAAACTGACTGTTGGTCTGAATAGTGTTCAACGGTGGGGAGGCACAGGAAGGTGGCTGAGTGATCATGGGGGGGTGGCAATTAAGAATTCTGAATGGAGTATACACACAGACCCCATTAGGGACCCTAAGTATACCACATCTAAGACAACTGGACCAGGTGATGATCATTTCAGTGATTTTATCAAAACTGTCTGCTATTCTCAAATAAGAAACCAACTGGAAACATGAAAAAGACTTGAATTATCTTTTAATCATTTTGTCTAAGGGCTAGAGGAATGTTTCCCCCTCTCAGTTCTTTAACTGGAAAGCTGGCACCATGAAAGGAGCTGTCAAATTAGCAAGTAAGCCAGCACTTTCATTTATTAATTGGTATGTTCCATTTTAATTAAAATCATCCCTGCTAATTACTCATTTCACTGTGTGCAACACCAGCTGAATAAGCTGGAGGACACAATGAAAATAGAAAGAAAAAGGCAAAAATAAACTCTGCTCTCTCTCCAATTCATTAGGTTTGTATTGCTTTCCCTTTCACACGTGGTGATTCAAGGGAAACATAAATTTACCATTCTATCCTTGCCTCTGTCCCTATGAAATAATGCTTATCTTGGAGTAAGTGGGTATGGTAGAAAGAGTACAGGCTTTGAAGTTCATACATGTGGGTTTGGATGTTGGCTGCCATTTATGAACTGTGTGACTATGGGCAAATATTTAACTTCTCTGATCCTCAAATTTTCCTACCTAAAAATGGCAATAATAACAGAACTCAGGGCTGAGATTTGGTGTGAGGTTTAAATGGAATAAAGTGAAGGCGCAGGTATATAATGGCTGTTTAATAAATGTTAGCCTTCATCATCACTACCACTATCCCATTCACCTGGGCAGCATCTCCTTTTCCATCAAGGCTCAGCTCAACCACTACCTCCACTGGGATGGCTTCCCTGAGTCCCAAATCCGAATCAGGCGTCCCTCCCACCTTTGACTATGTTTATCCTTATCATACAACTGTATTTGAATCTTCCATTTACTTGTGTACCCAACGGGTGGACATATCCTTTTAGTAAGCAACTGTGGTTAAGACTGCAATGAAAGCAGTATTCTTCTAGTGGATGATGTATTTTCAAAGATCTACCAAGTTAGTAGGACTTAAGCACCTATTAAGTTGTTTGGATACAACAGAAACAAAATCGTTAGGTGTTTCTTTTGGCCTACATGTGCCATGAAAAAATCACTGCAATGCCAATGGTGCCTGCTGTGAACTTTCTTGGTTCAGGAACTTTCCGCTGCTATAAGAAAATGATGACTTTCTGAACTAGAGAAATAACAATGCTTATTACGATTGCTGTAACATAATGTCTTAGTTATAATAATGCCATAATTACTAGCTAACAGGTAAGTGAGCCCTTACTATTTCCCAGGCATCATTCTGAGCATTTAGGTGTGCTTGAAGTAAGGGAGTCATGTGGACTAACTCCTTTAACCCCCTTAACAGCCCTAAAATAAAAATTTTATTTCTCTCATGTTAGAGAAGAGGAGACTGAGGCTTATAGAGAATGAGTAACTTGCTTAAGGTCATTGAATGGGCTGACGCTGGAGCCGCGATTCAAATTTGGGCATCCCAACCCCAGTCCCAGGATTCTTAACCCTCTGATCACAAGGCTGCGGGGGTGCAGAGAAGGAGACAGGGTTGAGCTGTCTGAATGGCAGAACCCACAGAATTTACAGATTTTAGGGGCTGGAGACAGTAGATGTTTCGGGATGTCTGTCTAGCCCACTTTCTTTGATGTGCTCTCACCTGCAGCCTGCTGACTCAGGGGACTTAGGGAGACATGTGCATTTGTGGCCCCGACCCTGAGCCTTGCCCTTGAACCTATCTGCAGGTTACCGGAAACCCGCAAGGAGATCCAAGCAAGCTAGGCCAAATGAAGCTGATTCCAAGGAACTGGGGACTGAAGCACGGAGTTTCTATTGCTTTTCTGTCTGTGTCAATCAACTCATATGAATGGTTATTGTCACAATGACAGAATGCAAAAGTGAGGGTTCACAGCTTGCTTTTGAGCTAACTAGATGGGGTTGCTCCCAGCGGCTATGCTTCTTGAGGCTGACTGGTTCAGTGGTTTTGCAGATCCCCTGAGGTCTCTACCTTGCCAATAACTTCTTTTATTTGAGTCAGATCTGCCAGACTTCTGTTCTTTCTAACCAAATGATGTTTACCTAGAACCCTGAACATAGATGTCATAAAATACACCACTAAAAAATGACGGGGCAGTACCTCCATCGTGAAATATTTAGCCCCTTAAATTGGGTGGCCCTTAGGATCTTCGGATTATAGACTTCAGCAGGGCCGGCTTCTCTTAGAAACCAGGCAGGTCTGTGGAGTTCACGTAAACAAATGGTTCAGGAAGGCAGCTTTCTGCACTGCCAGATAGGTCAATGATCTACCCAGCAATTACACCACTGTCAGACTGTAAACACACATTTGTGAATGCCTCTATAATTGTTCGGAAACCGTTTAGGCCTGTTCATGCAGGGCTAGTTACAGAATGTTAATGGGAAAGCTTACCCAACATCTGCTTTCATGGTTGGAGCCAGATTTGTTCCATTTCGACATTTCTGGGTATAAAGCAGCACATCGGATCCCTTCCTCTACCTGCTTTCAGAAAACATAAACTCAGCAGCAATGGACACTTGCATGGCAGATTGATGGGTTTTGTGTGGGCACTGCCTTTTCAGCCATGACAAAGTCATATTAAAACTGGTTTGGCTTTCTAAAAATCTAATAACAGTCAGTAAGATGGGAAATTGCCATCACACAATTGAGGTTATGTCGCTTTCCTCACCGGCCTCCTAGACCTCGTGCAGGATGGTTTATACCATAATTAAACAAAGAAATCCCTGCTACCTCTAAAGCATGATATACAGATGCCCATGTAAGCAGCAGTAGACCTCAAGGCATGCAATTCAGACTGTTTGTCTTTTTGACTTTTGTTTTGGGGCTTGTGCTTGAAATCAGTGTTTTTCTGCTGTCATTATCTTGAGACAGGTAACATTCTCTCTCCCAATTGGTAGGCATACAGGCCTCTCATATTGCTTCATTTCACCTGCTCTGGATGGTGACCACCAACCCACCAACACCCAAGGGCACCCTGTGCATGTTACAGAACCCCTAAGTGAAGTGTCAGATCATTCTGAATTCTAACTGTTGGCAACACCTTAAGTTTGGGTGAATATCCACCCGGCCAATTTCAAGCGTTACGGTATATCATTTAAGGCTATAGCTCTGCTCTAACAAAGTGATCTCAAATTACAGTGGCAGAAAGATGAGAGAATTTTATTCTTCTCTCATGTAACAGTCCCAACTGCACAGCCCAGGGTGGTGGGTTGCTTTGCTCCAGAGTCAGTCGGGGATCTAAGCTCTTACCATCTTTCGGTTCTGCCATTCCTCCAGGAACTATCCTTATCTGTGTGGTCGAGGCTGGGTTGCAGATCTATCCATGTTGCAGTTCATGGAAACGGGGAAAGACAGTCCGGGAAAGCCGGCTTATCTCTTAAATTGGAGAGGATCTGCAAGGTCAACTTTCGCTCACATCCCATTGGCCTAAACTAAGTTCCAGAGCCACAGTTAACTGCAAGGGCGATGGTGTTTCTCTGTGGGGAGCTATGGACTCAGCTTCAACGGTACCATCATGGAAGAAAGGGAGGAAAGATTTTGATGGCTGTCTGGAAGTTTCTGTCACATGTAACAACAGACAGAAAGATATATTACCTCTTACAAATAAGATAAATGCCACAGGATCATATATTCAACGAATATTTATTAAGTGCCTACTATGTGCCAGATAAATTTTCTTACATGTGTAAGAAAAATATTGTTAACATATTTTAGGTGAATTATGCAACATGATAAAGACATTTTTCCACTTTTGAAAGACTTTTGCTCTTTCAGGTAATAGAGGGCAAGTGAAAAGAAGACGAGGTTTTTACCTTCATATTGCAGGAAAAATATTCCCACTTGTCAAATTCCAACAGCTGGCATTGTTGCTCTTCTGTGGCTAAGCACCCATAAAAACCTCTTAGGTAGTCAGTTGGATGTTGGTCTCATAAATCATAACTTGCTTGTACCATGTTCACGAAGCTCCAGGAAGCCCTCTTTAGAGGATGATATTAGATCGTTGAGATCAAATTCGACCTCAAAGGTGGGTTTTTTTCCCAAAATAATTAAGGCAACGAACACAGCAAATTTCGCAGTTATTCCCTTGATGTGGTAAGTCATACCATCTTCAGGGGTTGTGTACTCAAAGCAATGAAGAATAAAATGATGACCTGAACGTGTCAGTCGATTCTGTTGGTAGACACGGGGATGCAGGAAATATTCCAGAGGCACTAGGAACACATTCTTAACTTCATCCGGATTAGGCTGGGCCTGGAAGTTGTGGTCTATAAATCCTACAACTGGGGTTAACAATGTATCTTTCTAAAAGCAGAAAACAAAATACACAAATTAAAAAGGGAAGAGAGGTTGTTTCAAATGCCAAAGTCAAGCCACTCCTCTGTAAACTAAGAAAATAGGCCAAAGCAGTCACTTACGTAAGGTGGGTAGGGGAGGAGAAAGGATTTGCTCCAGAAATAAACTTTATGTCCCCCACAACAGGGGGCAGTCTCTGCCCTACCTGAGTTAGCATTTGTGGGATGACTCCGGAAACAACATCTTTTGTGAACAGAAACTGGCACAATCTGTTGAAATGGCAATTTGGCAATATGATAAAAATGTGGTCCCTTTGACCTAGCGATTGTATTTGCATATCTGTATGAGGAGAAATTCCCACCAGTGAGAAAAGATACAAGGACAAGACTGAAGCATTATTTGCAATAGCCCAAAACTCTGAAGTTACCACTCCTTAATTGAAGGACATTTAAGGTAGATCAATTATGAGTACGTCCATATAATGGGATACTATGGAACCCTGAAAAAGAATGTGATAGACACCCTTCCTTGCTAGTATAAACAAGTATATACCATCTTATCAATAGAAAAGTGACACACAATATTGTGACATATTCTCATTTATGGGAAAAAAATTATATATATAATTGTATATGAACTATTTTAGATAAAATACATGTTTATATGTGGGAGGGGGTTTCTATTTACAACCACTACTGCTTGCAAATGAATACAGGTGCTGCTAAGTGAAAGATTATACTGGGAATCTTGATGGGGAGGCCTAGGGTTTATTCCAGGTGTAGGAGCTGATAAGAGCTGCGTAACCTTGAATCAGAAGGTGAGAAGAGTCTGGAATTCCTGGAGCATCCCATAAGGAAGTGGATGGGAAAAGCCAGGGATACACTGTGAGGCTGGGTAACTATAGGAAGATAGATAGGCCTGTGGAAAATTCTCAGAGGAGGGACAGCTGACACATGTTTCAGAACAGTAATGACTCAAACCATCAACCGAATTAATGATGAAAGTCAACATTTGGACCAGGAGTGGAAGATGGGAGCATAGACTTCAGATGTCCTTATGGCAGGAAAGCTGGGGTCCTCAGTTGCCCGTGGGCAGAAGCAGCATTCCACCAGCAGCAACCCAATGCCCGGCCCTGGGTCAATGCTCAGCCTCTTGAGTCACAGAGTGGGCCAAAATATGGCTCTGAGATGAGGACTCGGCTGAAAGAGCTTTCTTAAGGAAGTGCTCCTGGGAGAAAGCGGTGAGGGAGGGGAGGAAGGCTGGCAACCATGATGTGGGGAGTTCCGGGGTCTAAATACACTTCAGAGTTTGTCCCAAGGCGGGAGGAGGGAGCTGGGCTTTCACACTCCTCAGCACGGAGCAGTCAGTCACTGGTTAAGGGCTGCCGGTGGGAAATAAATGCACAGGTACCTCCAGCTCTCAGTGCAGCAGGGAAAAGGGCTCCAGAAGCCCCAGGGCACCCGTCCTGGGAGAAAGCTGCACTTGTGAACACAGCTGCGGGGAGGAGACTACGAAGGGGCTGGAGAGAAGCCCGACAATGTCCACTCGGCATGGGTTCCTGGTTGGTGTTACTATACAGTGACCACAGCCGCGGGGCCCCTAGTCTAGTAGCCAGCACCTCTCCCGATTCCCAATTCTTCACAACAACCTGACCTTGAAGAAGCTTTAACAACAGAAATTACAGACATGAAGAAAGGTGCCCAAGGTCACACCCAGCGAACTTGGCAGGAAGCAGGATTCCAGCACAGGCCTGTTGCCCGCATCACGGAGTATAACGCTTAAGTTGTATGAAGACACGCATGTCACCATATCTCAAAGGGATGGCACATCAACCTTGTGCATGGTTTAAATGCTGCTGCAGAGAGTTCCCAACTGCAGCTCCGATTGAAGCCCTTCCAGAGAGTTGCCCTAGGGGCACAAACTTATCCTTACTGTTTAACAGCCAAACTGTTGGGCAAGTGAGCAGACAGTGACTTAGCACGGCCACTGCCGGCCCTCCAACTAGCACGTCAGAATCCGAGGAAATTGGTGGGAAAAAGAAATTAGAGCCACTAAGGTAATGGTTTAAGATTGGATGTTTCAGATGGGAAGTCGGGTACGTTCAACACCGTTCAAGCTTAGAAAAGTAAAAGAGATTCTGGAAATTTGTGGATGAAGCATCTCTGGGCATGTGGTCTCTAAAAATACAGGTGTCTGTCTTGGAAGGAAAAGGGGGGTGCGTGGCAGATGTTCTTTGACCAATAAAAGTCCAAATTTTGCCGATTTGCAGAGTTGGAATCCCACGGAGACTAGCCTCTGCTGTGGGACTGGGGATGAGGCAGGCTGTAGGGCCCCTGGAAGCAGCTACGTGCTAGTAGAAACATTCCCACGAAGTCAGGACAGCCACCAAAATGTACTGAAACATTAGAGGAGTTGAGTCTTCAGAGGTGGCAAAGCAAAGGAGAGTGAATGGAAATGTGTGGGTATATCCCGAGAAAAAGGAGAAATGTCCCCTGAGACGTGGCAAAGAGAAGGACATGCATATATGACAAAAGGACAACTGGGGTGGGGGCTGGAGGGCCACAGCCTGCCTGGGAGGTTAATTCAGGAGGTGGGAGAAAGCCAACAGCACCCCAGCTGTGACACCCTAACATCTCCAGACATTGCCAATGTCACCTAGGGGACAAAATCACCCCTGGTTAAGAACCACTGAATTAGATTATGCTTATAAGTATTCCATAAATGGTATTTTTGTATCACATTTAAAAGATTAGCAAGGTCCAAAAAAACAAAAACATCCTTGCTAATACTTCCAAACAAAGTACACCTTTCTTGAAAGCCTTCATTCATTCTACTTTCTTGATAATATAATTAGCACTACATCAAGAGCAGGTCATTTTAGAAATCTCCTGCTCCATGGGCGTCTGGCCCACAGAAAGCTCCTGAAGCTCCAAGATACTCCTGTGAACACTGTGGTATTCTATCCCCTTACAGGCAGAACTTGGTGGCTCCTGGGGACCTTGGAAATGGAGTTACCCTTACTTTGGGAACTTTCGTCCATTAGGGTTCAATTTGTCAATAGAGTTCTAAAATAAATCTCCAAAATGTGCTGGGGGATTTGCAGACATTAACTGAAAAGAGTTTCCATTAGAAAACATAATTGAACATGCAGTAACAGAACCGTTTCTTGTCCTAATCTCATGTAATTTTCTCTCTGTCTCTCTCTCCTTTATCAAGTCCTTATTGAGCGGCCACTAGCTTCCCCCAAACTCCATCTCCCTTGAGTGGTGACCTTTTCTATTTTTAAAATGGATCCAATTAAGACAGATGTCTCATCATCGCTCATCTTCACTACACTGTGCCACCAAGACTTTTAAGCCACATGGAACACAAGGGATGATCTAACCCACTGGTTTTCTCACTGTTGGCATCAGTGGGATTCTTCTTTTGAAATAAAAATTTACCTGTAAGCCCAATATATAAAACCTGAAAAAGTTTATATCTACCTCTGCTATTATGTGGTGAGGGCACATCACCTCTGTGGTATTCTTCGCCTAAACCCATAACACAATCCAAATTGAGGAGCATTCTACAAAACCTCCGATTGGTGCACCTCAACGCTTTCAAGGTCATGAGAATAAGGAAAGTCTGAGACACTGTCACAGACCAGAGGAGACTAAGGAGATATGACAACACAAAAAAATATGGTACCCTGGATGAGATCCAGGGCAGAAAGGAGAAAAAACTAGTAAAAAGCAAATAAAGCGTGGAGTCTAGGTAACAACAATGTACTAACACTGGTTTCTTAGTTGCGACAAACGCATCACAGTGGTGTAAGATGTCAACAGCGGGGTAAACTGGGTACGCGTATACAACTCTGTCTTTGCAACTTTTCTATAAATCTATAAGTATTCTAAAATTAAAAGCTTACATTAAAAATTTCACACCAATAAACTAATGCTGTTATTCAAGTTCAAGTTTACAATATTTACTCCTTCTAAAGTCAACAACGAGGTTGTTGTGATAAATTCATACAAAATAAGATCTGCCTAAATGAGCCCCAGATTTCATGTTGGTTTTTTTTCTCAACGTTCCTTTGGTGTATACTATTAAGGAAATCCTGATTCACACAGAAATGCAAATGGCATTAGTTTTTAAACAGCTTGTCTAGTGATCTCAGAGTGCCGCTCAATTAACGGGATATGGAGAAGACTGATTCCGTGGCACGTACAACAATGAATGTCCTTAGGTCAAGGTAATGCATTGGTGGCCCCCAAGGGGCTAAAATTTGGTAGATAGCATACTCAAATATGTGTTATTTTTTTTCTACTGAATTCTCAAAATAAACACATACTGGAGAAAAATAAACATGAACTGAATGTTAACGAAAGAATTCTGAAGCATCTACAGGGTTCCCAGTACCCAGTTTGAAAACCACTGACGGAGTTCAACTTTTTCATTTCTAGACAGAGAAAGAGGGGCCCAGACAGGAAAAGAGGCTTGCCCAAGACCACTTAGCTTGTGAGGGGCAAAGTTCACACAAGAACCAGTCTCTTGACTCTATGTATGGCACTCTCAAGGGTCATGTTTGGCCAAACGTGGAATCCTGAAGACAGTGGACGCACTGGGACCTCATGAGTGTCTAAGAAACCCAGTTCCATTCCAAGCCTTACGTCAAGCGGTTGCGGCACCAGGCGGCAGACGACCTCCACTTGACGAGGATGCAGTCCCACTTCCTCATGGGCTTCCCGGAGAGCTGTGGCCACATTATCCACATCTGTAGGTTCCCACTTGCCTCCTGGGAAGCACACTTCTCCAGGTGACCTTCTTAGCTAGTTAATTGAAAAAACAGAGCTGCATCGTGTGATCCTAATTTTGGAAACATTCACTCATTCAACAAGTGTGTACTGAACTTGTATTTTATGCCAGCGACCATTCCCACACTGGTGGTAGCAAGTGGGGACCAAGGCCAAAAAAAATAGTGTTTACTTGAATGTTTTTAAAAAATGAACTTTGAGAACTTGCCTTACTTCTAATTGTTCTCTATTTGTCCCCAAAAGATAACATACACAAAAACTGATTTACATTGATAGAGAAAAAAGCTGAAAGAAAGGATAACGGAAAGGTCAGTGTTACCAATAGATAACCTTTAGTGAGTGCCTACCACGTCCTGGGCATGCTGCTTCACAAGGGCTGTATTTTCACTGAGTCATCAGATCAGTTCTATAAGCTAGTATTTTTTTTAAGGTTTTTTTTTTGAGGCGATTTCACATAACATAAAATTAACCACTTTAAAGTGAACAATTCAGTGCCATTTAATACATTCACAATGTTGTACAACCACTATCATTATTTGGTTCCAGAACATTTTCATCACCCCAAAAGGAGACTCTGTAGCCATTAGGCAGTTGATCCCCTTTCCTCTCTCCCTGTCCCTACTTTCTGTCTCTGTGGACTTACCTGTTCTGCATACTTCTTTCATATAAATGGAATCACAAGATATGTGACCTCTTCTCATATGTGATATGTGTCTCGCTTCTTTCACTTAGCATGATGTTTTTGAGGTGACTCCATGTTGTAACACGTCAGTACTTATTCCTTTTGATCAATGAACAGTATTTCACTGTGTGTATATATCAGTTTATCTATCTGTCCATTGATGGATATATAAGCTACTATTATACTATTATCATTTCCACTTGTAGACAAGGGAAGTGAGGATCAAAGAGGTTAAATAACCTGAGCAGGTTTACACAAGAGGTGAGTAGTGCAGCTGGAAGGTAAACCGGTCTTCACTTCTGGAGCCCATTCTCTTAATTAGCACATCATATATTTAATAAGAGCTAAACTAAAACATAGGCAATATGGTCGAGCCATTAGCATCGACCTGTGTCAGCACCTTTGTATTTCTGTGTACATGTACATAAAGGAAAGGGAGTCTCTCTCTTTCCCTGCATTGCCTCCTTCCACCTATATTCTTGATTCCATGCCTTCCTGATTTCAGAAGAACTGACTGTGTCTCCATTTGTAGCATCCTAAATGTTTCCCTTTCCTATCTTGGTCTTGTAATGATTTCTCTCCTATCTTGGGAAGGGGTGGAGAAGCACAAGCCCTCTGCTGTTCTCTCCTCTGCAGGACCAAGCTTCTCAGCAAATGTGACCTCAATTTCTTTGACACTCACACCGCCCAGTACCCACCATCCTCTCTCTACTAAACTGTCAAGGAGACCTCAGGCTCAGCAACAGTCCTGGCTTGCCTCTTCTCAACGGTGTGCAATGCGGGTTATGTCAGTGTGCACCTCCCAGGGTCGTGGAGCCGATCCCATGAGCTGCTGGCTGAAGTGCACGGCACAGCACCTGGCCCACGTTAAATATTTAATGAGAATTCGTAAGGTCAGTTCTCGACGGTTAGAAGCTAAATCAAGAGGTCGTGTTGGCATTTTCAGCACCAGGGCCAATATATCTGTGCAAGAATAAACTAGACACCATCATAAATTTTGCAGTTTTGTACAGTTTAAAGTCCCATCTGGGCAAGCTTTTTAGAAAGAAAACATTTTAAAGTTCCTCTCTGCTAATAAATCAGTAACACTGCAGGAAATGCTACAATACATAGAAACCTCACCCAACTTCACATCTGTCATAGTTATGATGAAAACAAGGTTGAGGGACATTCTACTGTCCTGAACATTCACCACCCAGATGCATAAGAAAGAGACCTAACGTTACATCGCCTCTGAAATCCTGCTCCACTGTGTCAGCATGTTCAGCATCAAGGCGTCAGTGGCAGAAGGTACCTACAGGGAATTATCAGGCTTGACAGAAATACAGACCCAATTTAATGACTATTTAAAATACTCTTAAGAAAATGTGACGCTGTTTTGAAGACAACAGACACATTCATAAAAATGATTATTCACAAACTATCAGCATCGTAAAGGGCTCTATCTAAGTACAGAAGTTTTCAATCTTTTTTTTTTTTGTAAACAGCATAAAATTTTTATTAAATAAAACCTTATGGAATTCTACTCAAAAGACAAATAAAGCTGCAGCCTAACTTCCTAAGACTTCAATCTATGTTTTGTTCCTGAATTTCTTCTTGCCTATTTCTAGCCGTAGAGAGCTGGGAGCAGAGGGAGGAGAGGAGAGAGGGGAGGAGAGAGGGGAGAGGTGGAGGAGGGGAGAGAGGGAGAGAGAGATCTTTTACCCTCAGAACGTCAGGCAATGTTTTCAGTCCTATTTTAGGAATGAGGAAACTGAGGCTCAGGGAAATTAAGGACTTTGCTCCAGGTTCCAGAGCTGGAAGGGGAGCCCGCATGCAAGCAGGGGGATGGATGATGGGCACCTGTTTCCCCATCTACTGGGAGGAAATCTGAGAGCCCACTCCTGTGACTCCAGGGAGGGGCGCAGCCCCAGGAATGCCTGAGGGAGTTCCTTGCCCCAACAGCCAGACAGGCTTAGAGTCTGATTTTAATAGATTTTTTTTTTAATGTGACCTTTGCACATCAGAATTTATGGTCTAAGATGGTTTTCACTTAAAAATCAACAGGCAAAGCTATTTGGGTTGAAACAGACACCAGAGATCCATTTTGGCCCTGTCTCGATTTTCTACCTTACCGTCTGATAATTCCAAAAATATATTTAAGTGCTTCTCCTGTGTTTTTTGGCCAGGCTTGGAAGAGACCCTGGTCCCCTGGTTTCCAGTTAAGTATCTCCCCTCAGCACGTGGATTTTCATTGTCTCACATGTTTACGTCCTTGTTGCCTAACCCAGACTGAAGAGAGTCCACACAAGTCTGATCCCAAGTCCATGAAACTCCAGCTGACTCCTCAGCCTTTTTCCCTCCAGGGGGATACTGCTCATTATCCCACTTAGAAAGCCATGTTATGATGGCCCTTTTCCTTTTTTGTACTTGGGTAACTTTCTGACTGCTTCCTCACTTGTCCTTGGAAGTACCCCCAACAGCAAAGGAGAGTGACCGCACCCAGGGTCCACCCAGGGGGACGCCATTCCCAGCCCAACATTTCTTTAAAACGGAATGGTTTACTTTAAAACCTCAGGCCACGTCTGCTAATGGCACTAAGGATGACAGCTGAAACTGATCGAGTCCTTGCCAAGTGCCAGGGCTGTTACAAGTCCTTTACATCTGTTACCCTGTGAAATCCTCACAGCAGCCCTGTGGAGCAGGTACTAACATTCTGTCCTCATTTTGCAAGTGAAGAGATTGCAGCACAGAGAGGGGGAGTAACTAGGACAAAGTAACACAGGTGGCCAGGAGAGAGCCTGCATTCAAACATGGAGAGCCAGCTTCAGGGCCCAGGCTGGTAATTTCTGTGCTCTAGAATTTTCACATTATACCTGGGGTGGGATTTGTCTAAAACAGAGGCTTTTGGTGTGGGCAATTTTGCTCCCTCTCTCTGCCAGGACAGTAGATAATGTGGAGGCATTTGTGGTTGTCACAAAAGGCTGTGTGTGTGTGTAGTATCTAGTGGACAGAGGAGGCCAGGGATGATGCTCAACATCTCACAGTGCACAGAACAGCTCCCGTGACAAAGAATTATCCAGTCCAAATGCCACAGCACCAAGGATAAGAAACCCTGCTCTGAAAGCGACAAAATTTCAGGGGGTTTTCAAATGTCCTGAGACTTTAATGGCAGGTGCCTTTTTGTCACCTACCTTCTCTGATCGGAGGGTGAACAACAGATGGAGTTTTCCTTCTTTTGCCACCAATGGTAAAAGGATGGAGTATTTGGTAGGCGACAAGTGAGAATGTTTGGTTCCAACATCATGCTTTTTTAAGCGGGTCTTAGCATCATCTATCAAACTGTTTCTAAAATGGAAACAAACCAGACATTTTAGTAACCAGGGTTATGATACAGAGCTCCCAGTCCTGCCTATGTTTCTGCTTCGTTGTGTGGCTTGGGGCTTACCATTTCTGAGTCTTAGTGTACTTTTCAATAACATGGCAAAAATAATAACACCCAAATCTCATGACTGTTGACAAGATAAAATGAGGCAAAAAAAAAAAAAACTACTGAGCACACAGTTAATACATGAGTTCACTTTGAAACCTAAATTAAACTTAAATTATGGCAGAATATTCTTTCAACAATGCAGTAATAAATGTTGAAATCTATACTTATATTCAGGTAAGACAGGTTTGCTGCATAAATCACCGTAAGGACAGATCATTGTCAAGTTAAGGACTTTGTCATAACCTGCCCCTTAGGTCACGTTATCAAACCCTATGTCTTCAATCGCCTTATAACAGTGCTTCCCAAACTTTAGCAGCAAAAGAATCACCTAGAGGATTGTTACAACACAGATTGCTGGGCCTACCCCCAAATTGTGACTCAGTAAGTTTGGGGTAGGGTCTGGGAGTCAGCATTTACATGAAACTCCCAAGGAATGGTGACGCTGATGCTGTGGACCAGGGGAACACCCTTTGAGAACCATTCCCTGATAATATGCAAGTATTTGGATTTATAACCACAATTGGTGCCCTGAATCTATAAGTATGAGTTTGTTTTGGTCCTTTTGATGGATATATTTTGTTGCTTATTAAATAGTAACTCCCCCTTGCCCCCCAAAATTCATGTCCACCCAGAACCTCAGAAGGCAACTGTTTTTGGAAATAGGATCTTTGCAGATATAGGTACGGATCTTGACGTGAAATCATCCTGGATTCAGGGTGGGCCCTAAACCCAATGACTGGTATCCTTATAAGAAGAGAAGACACAGAGAGACACACACACAGGGAAGAAGGCCATGTGAAGATGGAGGCAGAAATCAGAGTGATGCTGCCACAAACCAAAGAACACGAGAAGCCTGCAGAAGCTGCAACAGGCAGGGAAGGCTCCTCCTCTAGAGCCTTCTGAGAGTGTGGCCCAGGCGTCACCCTGATTTCAGACTTCTAGGCTTCAGAACTGTGGGAGAATAAATTTCTGTTGTTTAAGCTATCCAGTTTGTGGCATTTTGCTGTGGCAGCTCTAGAAACTAACAATTTGGTTTTAATTTTTCCATAGGAAAGGCAGTTTTGCACAGTGGGCAAAATCATATGTTTAAGTCAGCCAGAACTGGTTTTAAAGTGTTTAGAGCGACCTCTCTGAGGCTGGCATTCCTCCTCTGAGACATCCTTGAATATATTTGTGAAGATTTAACGACATAGTTCATACACCGTGGCTGGAACTCAACTAGCGCCCAATGAATGGTAACTACTGTCATAAACCTCTCCATCATTTGATGGGCAGTTGTTTGTCAGGAGGTGTTTGCTAATTCTTGCCTCTTTCTTCATGGCAGGTTGCTCACTAAACCTGGTTGGGTAACAGCAGTCGATTGCAAAAACGACCAAAGGCCTGAAAAGAATCAAACAATGCTGGGGGGAGGGTTTCCAGGGTGCATCCCACGCACACATGGCCGAGTACAGAAAAGGAAACTGGCCCACTGGGAGTGTGCACTCCTTTGAGTGTGGCTTTTAAGAGGGCCCCAGAACTGACCACAGGGACCAGGAAAAGCAAGAGTCTGCAAAAACGTGTCAGTCCACATTAGGGGCCGTTCCTTGGAGTCATCCCCATAAAAACACCACCAACAGTAGGAGCCACCTCATTCTGAGCAGGCTCATCCCACATTCTTTCAACGCTTTTCTCTCTTTATCCTCACGAGGGCCAGGACAGGCGAGAACCTGGTCCCGCCCAGGCTCAGAGAAGTTATGTAACTGAGAGACCGGAGGTCACGACTGGAAGGAGCACTGGGGGTCCCGCCCCAGAGCTGCCTGGGGACGGCTCAGGGTTTCTGAGGTCGAACTTGGAGACCCGGGGAGCGGAAGAGGGAAGCCGACTGGGCAGGGGGGAGCGCTCTGACCTTGGAGAAGGGTATGTGAACCCACAGTGGCCAAAGCCCGGCTCTGTCTTTGGCCAGAGAAGGTGAAAAGTCCCCGGGACCCGCGCGCGGCCAGGGAGGCGAGTGCACCGAGCGCGGGCTCGGCAAAAACAGACCCAGCCAAAGATCCCCGGCGACCCGCGGCCCGCGATCAGGGCCGGGCGAGGCCGGGTTCGAGGTACCAGGGGCCGAGGAGGCTTTACCTGACTCGATCCCGGGGAGGAGAGGGTGGCGACATCGTCCAGGGGAAAGTTTGTATCCTGCAGGACACTCCACGAAGGCGTCTCGGCCGGATGGGCATGCGCAGAGCAGCGCTGGCCCTAGGCCGAGGAGAGAGGCGGGCCCGTGGCGTGGGCGTGGCCTGAGGCGGGGATAGGGGCGGGGCTGAAGGTAGGAAGCGGGGCGGGGCCTAGGGCCGTAGGGCCGTAGACGGGGATGGGGCGGGGAGAGGGGCGGGGAGAGGGATAGGGGCGGGGCTTAGGGCTGGGCCTTCTGGGATGTGAAGGGAGTTTCTGTCTAGCTCCTCGCTGTTCCTCAAGAACAAGAGCCGTGTGAGGAGTTCTGAGATTGACAGCTGTAAAAAAGGAAAAAGAAAATGAAACGCAGTGCTGGTGAGTTGATAGGATTCTGCCCCTCGCATTCACTGCTGCTAGGAGGTTAAGTTGGTTCAGCTTTTCTGAACAGCAGTCAACGCATGTTTACAGAGCACCAACTATGTGCTGGGTGCAGATCCCAGCGAGCGAAAAGACACGTGGAGCTTACGGTCAAATGGGAGAGAGAGACATATGAATCAAAAAGTCCGGTAGATACAGCAGAGGCCTTTAGTCCTTGGAGAGCATGTGAGAGAAACGGGAGGGAACGGATCCGAGAAGGCTTACCAGAGAGAATGGAAACGGAGCCGTTCTGGAAAGCAGCTGTTCTCCAAGCGTGGTCCTGGGACCAGCTGCATCAGCATCCCCTGGGTGCTGTTAAAAACGTAGACGCTTAGGTGCCACCCCAAAGCTGCTGGATCAGAAACTGAGGGTGAGGCCCAGCAGAGGGTAATGCTCCGGGAGTGTTTGCTATAAGGTATGTGTGGAAAGTAAATAAGGGAAAAGGGCGGAGGAGAGAGTTCCAAGAAGAAGGACAAGTCTGTGCAGACTCCATGATGTGCAAAGACACCAGAAGTGGCTGGAGAAGAACGAGGGACAGGGAGCCTGGTTTGAGCTGACACTTAAGAAGTCAGACTTCAGAAACTTAAGGCCAGGCTGAGGTCTCTATCCGCACAGGAGATGCGATGCCTGGGGCCCATAATAATTTTAGGGGCCCGTGAAAATGTTTTAATTTTAATTTCTTTTAAAATCAGAAGAAAACAAATATAATAATAAGCAATATATAATAATGAATCCAACCTGGATTATATTCATCTTTATACTAATGTAGTCATAAAATATAATTCATTTTATTATTATTATTTTATGGAGGAAGAGGTACATAAAACCAAATTGCTTAGGGCCTAGGAAAATCACAGTGTGGCCCTGGGTTGTGGGACAGTTGGGCCACAGTTCCCAAGATCTTCTCACCCACCTTAGTGTACTTAATCCATTAAGCAACCTCATAAAGTATGGTTATTTCCGTGGAGGTATTACCATCCTCACTTTCCAGATTAGGAAATTAAAAATGTCTTGCTTAGGGTCACACAGCTAGGGTTCAAGCTTCAATTGTTCAGACCTTTGAGTTCATTTATTTTGACATCACCTCTCAGAAGCAACTGACCTATGAATTATGTGGATCTGTTTATGAATGAGAAAGAGATAAATTAACCCCTCATCCAATATCGATTGCATACTTATTGTGTGCTAGGCATGTCTACGATGTGGCCCCTTGACCTCTAAGGCCTCTTGGTCTATTGGGGGTGGTAATTATCATGACTCTCTGCGCTAGTAATGCAGTGTGTTCTCAGCTCTATACGAGAAAGGAAGGGAGAATGGCTCAGAGGATCAAGTTGGTGGCTGAAAATTCCTATCTGGGGCTTTTGTTTTCTCTTCTTTCAGACATCCTTTGATTGAATCCTCAGTTTGAAGATGAGCAAACTGAAGCTCGGAGTGGTCACATGCCTTGCCCATGGTCACACTGCAGATAAATGGTGGAGCCAGGTTTTGATCCCATCCATTGAGCTGCAGCTAGGCCTCTGGTAGGTTTTGAGGGATAGGTGGGATTTCAAGAGGCCAAAGTGGGGGAGACAGCATTCCGGGCAGAGGGAATAGCCGAGGGCAGCCTTGGGTGAAGAGTCTTGTTTGAAGGGGCAGGTAGCGCAGCATAGCGGGAACAAAAAGGGCATTTTTGCCAAGTAGAGCCTTGGGAACAGATGAAAAGGCTTTGGAAGCCTCAGCAAGATGGAGGTTGACCTTCCTCCTGAAGGGAAAGGAATAACAGATCTGGGTTTTCTGGAAAAGCTCTGTGGAATCAGGGTGGGAGATGGATGGGAAGAGGGGAGAGAGTGAAGTCAGTCAGGGCCTCTTCCAAAAGTCTGGGCTCAAGGAACCAGAAAAAAAGTGCTTTAAATCATCTCTAAAATCCCCATACTCCTGACATCAGGAAGTCAGAATGTAGCAGGGGCAGCCTTGATGTAAAATCAGCCTCGAGATGCTTTGCTGTGTACCAAGACTACATGCATGGCATCTTCTTTCAAGATCAAAAATACCATTATAAAAATACTTGGTTTTCCTGGCTTTTGAAAGACTGGAAGCCATAGCGCAGAGAACATCACAAGGTGAAATGCATCATAATAAGATTATATATACGTGTGTGTGTGTGTGTGTATGTATGTATCTCCACAGCTGCAAAACAAGCCAGGCTTCAAGGCTAATGGGCAATGTCTTTTGGTGGAATTGACTTGTCTCTGTAGCTTTTGCACACAGATTTGTTGGTAGTGACATAATTCTGGAAAATATGTTCAAGAGAAGCAAGGCTATAAAAAGGTTCGGGCCAGCCTACAAAGAGGACACCTCTGTGTGCAGTTCTCTCCAAGAAGCAAAACCCCGGGGGTCAGGGTGGACCTTATCTGCAGTCCACCCACCTGGAACCTTTATTTGAGCAGAGCCTCACAGCCAGGCCTGGGTGGTGCAGAGATAAAGGAAATACCAACCAGCCTTCTGGAGCAGAGGATGTCTGGGGAAAAGACCTACAACAAACAATTAGCTTTAATGCTGGATAAGTGCTCTACCCCTGGAAAGGGACTGAGTGCTCTGGGAAGAGAGGAGCAGCAGGCAAGCAATTAATTCTGCCTGGGATTAGGCAGTGGGTCTAGGTAGGCTGTGAAGAGATGGTTAAGGTAATAGGGAACACTTAGCACTTCGCATTATTTTCCTAAGAAAATGATGCTCAAGGAATGTGAGTTTTGTCCATTCCTTCCTCAGTTTGCAGAAGGGTCTCTAACTTTTGGCGGGAGGTCTCAGGGGAGGGCTTTCAGGTTAAGTCTCACATATCCATCAGAGTAGGGTGGTTACAGTTGCTGAGTTGGCCATTTGAAAAGCAGACCCTTCCCCCCATCTTGCACCCTGCGAACTCCCCGCCCCATGCTCCATCAACTCCCAACCCCTTTAAATCAGGGAGAATTAAGGAGGCATAGCCTTTCCCACCCCCACCTTTTTTTTTTTTTTTTTTTTGAGGAAGATCAGCCCTGAGCTAACATCTGCTGCCAATCCTCCTCTTTTTGCTGAGGAAGACTGGCCCTGAGCTAACATCCGTGCCCATCTTCCTCTACTTTATATGTGGGATGCCTACCACAGCATGGCTTGCCAAGCGGGGTGCCATGTCCACACCTGGGATCCGAACCTGCGGACCCCAGGCCACCGAAGCAGAACATGTGCACTTAACAGCTGCGCCACCGGCTGGCCCCAGCCTTCCCTCCTTTTAAGGAGAGGAGATTGAGGGAGTTCTTTGAGGACTAGGTTTAAACAGGAATTTCTCTAGAGATGGGTCAGGGTCCTCAGCATCAAAATCACCCAGGAGCAAGGTTGCAGCGTGGACAACTCAGTGCCCCAAGTCCCTCCCTGCAGGTAACTGTCTCAGAGTGGAAATACCCAGGAACATGTATTTCTGGGCAAGTTTCTAGGGGATTCTACTGTAAAGGTTGAAGACACTGGTTTCAGTGCTCCAAAGGGAGACATTTGATGTTGAGAAGATAGTCCACTTCCTTCTAACACTTGGTGACGTGTGGCAAGGGAAGGGCAGATGGTGGCCACCAGTGCCAGGAGGCGTCATCCTTGGTAGCACTGGAACAATCTTTCTTTCTGGCCTTGAGAGCTGGCAATTCAGGCAGGTCCCTCTCAGGAGAGGCTCCAGGGAGGCTGAATGGATTGTTTTGTAGAAAATGGGCCAGAGTGACAGATCCCTACACACTGTGGTCCTTGTTGTTTTAAAAAGACCCATTAAAAAGGAAGGAGCTTGTGACTTTGGTTCAGCACATTCTCCAGGTGAGTGCCCATTCTTGGTTAGGCATCAAGCTGGATGTTGGAGATATGCAGACACACGACAGTTGGTCCTTTCTCTTGAGGGTTTGGTGTCAAATATGGCAGTGAGTGACTTTAGTCTGCATAGGAATCTCTTGGGGGCTGATTAAACGTGTAGGTTTTTGGGCTGCAGCCTCAGGGAGACTGACTCAGGTGCGGCCCAATCATCTCCACTTGCAACTGGACCCTTGGGTGATTCTGATGTAAATCTACACTTGGAAAGAGAAAGAAACAGAACTTAAATTTGAAAAAAGAAAAGAAAAGAATAGAAATCAGCCCAAGAAGTCTGGATAGGCACTTGAGCCAAGAAGTCAATGACCTGGAACAGCCCTTGATTTCTAGTAGCGGGTGTGGACTGGGAACTAAAGGTTAGATAGAGATGATAGGGAAAATGCTTCTAGAATTGCCTTGGATTACAAAAATGTAAATAGCTGGGAATTTATTTCCGAGCATTGCAAATGTGATTTTTCATCCATGTTTAATTTTCATTGTGCAGTAATAAAACAGATATATGCTTGCATATTAAGATGCCTTAAATCTCAGAGTTTCCATGAGCCAGGCCTGCCAAAAACTGACAGAAATTGATGGGTGCGCGTCATTCACATATTTTATACCATTGTTGGTTCTCATTTCCCTGCACCTTTAGAAATGAGATAAAGATTAGTTATGTTTGATTCCTTTACTGTCATGTAATCTTTGTGTAATGGAACAATCAAGTAGGTTTAATTACCAGTAACAACTGCGCTGGGAAATTTGTAATCTAAATGAAGGCTCGGCCTAGGATGCACATAATGGCGTGACTATGCCACACAATGAGGAGCAGTCTGGTCTCAATTAGCTCGTGAATTAGTTGTGAAATTGGCTTAAGATTTTCCAGTGCATGTGGGAAGCTCAGTGTCTGTGGAAGAAACACAGTCTCTGTTCCACAGGGAACTCACCCTCTGCATCCTCACCTTGGCCTTGGGTCTGCCCACCAGGAACTCACAGCTCAACCCTGGTTGAACTCTCGCTTTTACAGGTTGGTGAGGGGAGATGGAAACTCATACCCCTGCCCAAATCCAGACTCCACCAGTCACCTAGCTTGAGGCCTTCTCCAACCCATTCTTTACACCTCTGGGAGAACTATGCAAACTGGGCTCTGCTCATGGGAATTACACTCTGGCAAGCAGCCTCTCTTGGTGTATCTGGAATAATAGACCCTACCAGGTGGGCAGAGAGACAGACCTTTGTGAAAGATGCCGTCCATCTGCTGTTAGCCTCTGGTTCATGTTTATCCTATGGCTAGCTGTCTTAAACGGGCTGCACAATGGTCTTCTTGGGGAGGGAAGCTCTGGTCATTGCTTGAGGTCTTCAGTGGAAGCCAGAAAAGAGCATGCACTATTGTGGAGTAATTTCAAGAATCCGGTGATGGAGGATTATACTTCTAGCAGCCCTGTCCAGTAGACCTTTCTGCAATCGTGGAAGAACTCTATATCGATGCTCTTTAATACAGTTGCCACTAATGTGGCTATTGAGCGCTTGAAATGTGGCTAAGGTGACTGAGGTACTAAATTTTAAGTTCTATTTATTTACTTTTAGGTAATTTAAGTAGCCACGTGTGGCTAGTGGCTCCCATATCAGCACAGTCTAAGGGTTATAGTTTCTAAGTTTTCTTCCATCTCACAACCTTGGAAATACAGGCTCAAGTCTTCCACAAAAGGTACCGTATCTTCCCATGCTTTCGGGAAAATTCTTAGAAGTTTCTTCCTGGGGTATTTTTGGGAGATGAAGCCTGGAAGGAAGCATCATTAATTCTTTTCTGTTACAAAAAGAAAATGTAAGTTCACATTCCCCCCAGCAGGCACCCACTCCTGTGTCACCTCCTACCACATCAGTGAGGGGTTTGAAACAGGTCTTCATGTTTACCCAAAACAGTAAGCTGGTAGCAACAATTGCACTACTACCTGGCATGAGCTGTGTTGAGTTATGCATTGGACACAATGATCAGATCGTATACCTGTCTTTAAAGAGTTAATATTACGGAAGGGGAAACACAGTATTCCCCAAGGTGTGTTGCAAGCAACATTGGGCCTGTGAAGTGCCTGTAGGAGGGTGCTGTGGTCAAATATGTTTGGGGAAGGCTGCATTCAATTCCTCCTCTTGCAGATAGATAATCTGTATTCGCATGGTAAAGCTTCCAAACTTTGTTCCACCCAACTTTCCTCTGATGTCCTTGGCCACAGAATTCTTTATGCCCCCCATAATCCCCACTGACATTGATCTGCACTGGTGTTTTCTTCAAGGCCCTTTGGGTGGTGCAGCATTAGAACGATGGCATGTATGTAAGAGGATTTTCTTCCTGGGCATAAAGGAAAATCTCATGGAGAAGCCTGAGACTGCCCAAAATAGTATCCAAAATGCTGCCATTCCTTATTCCCTTAACCTGCCTTATTTTTCTTTGTAGCACCCATCACTAGATGATATAACACTTGTTTAGTTTTCTTTAATTCTCTGCCTCTCCCCGCTAAAATCTAAGCTCCAGGCGAGCGGGAGCAATGCATCTTTTTCCCACCACTGTGGTTTCAGCACCCAGGTAATCAATACATATTTTTTGACTGAACATAGATATGAAAAAACATTTCAACTGGGCTTTGAAGGAGAGGAAGAATTTTGATGGGCTAGAGTGAAGGTGATGTTCATTTTAGAAGGTAGGAGAGGCACGGAAAAATAAAAGCACTTGGGGAGTCCTGAGAAGCTGGCTTTGATTGAAGAAAGGTGGGGACCCAAGAGTGGGAGATGACACTTCAAGGATAGGCTGAGGCCAGTGTGTGGAGGGAGAGGAGGGAGCTGTCTAAGAGGGGCCAAATGTTGGGGGCACCTCCGTATTTCTACAGAGTTCTGAGTTCTCTACTAAGGAAGAGGAAGGGTGGGTTGTGAGTCACTCTATTTTCTGGAATTCTGGCGAGGTTACTAGTGCACAACATATCCATTGATATAGACACACACATGGTATATGCATAGTATCTATTTTTATAAATTTTTTTTTTCTTTTGAGGAAGATTAGCCCTGAGCTAACTACTGCCAGTCCTCCTCTTTTTGCTGAGGAAGCCTGGCCCTGAGCTAACATCCGTGTCCATCTTCCTCTACTTTATATGTGGGACGTCTCCCACAGCATGGCGTGCCAAGTGGTGCCATGTCCGCACCCGGGATCCAAACTGGCAAAGCCTGGGCCACCAAGGAGCGGAACATGCGCACTTAACCTCTGCACCACCGGGCCGGCCCTACTTTTATAAATTTTTATAAGGTTGTGCATTTAAAATGAACTTGCTTCAACTTACCTGCATAGAAGCAAATACATAGCATAAAACATGCACAACCAGAGGCTCTAAAAGATACCATCCTTATAAACATGTCTCAGCAGGACATTCGTTGAGGAGATGAGTCATCTTTCCGGGAAAGGGCATTGGGTGTCAGACTGTATTTCCTTTCTGTTTCGTCATTTAGATACAGACGTGCTTTAGAAGCAGGGATAAAAAGCAGAGCATGTTTCTTTTAAGGCTTGTCTTTCTTCATAGTTAAACATAACATTTTGTTCCCTAAATAGATGCTGGGCAGCTAATGAGGCTAATTTGTGTAGCCTCATGGGAGATGAGATGTGCGTAGTTTCCATAATGAGTTCTCCTTTGACCTTGTATCAAGATTAAAAAGTGCCTCCTGTGTAACATAGGTATAGCTGTATTCCCCATAGCATCCTCCTCCACCACACAGCACCAGAATGGCTAGCTTCCCTTCCCTAACCCCCTGCCAACGTTACATGAGTTTTATATACCTGACTCTGACTGAATGATGGGAATCGTAGCAATGTTGTCATCAACAACCACCACTTATGCTTACGGATCCATGTGGGAGGTGTTGTAGGAAATTGTGTTCATTGCTTTACATGGATGGGCTTAACCAATCGTCTTAACCAATCGTCTTAGCCCCGCCCTGAGGTGGCGATGCTCTTCTTTCCTTTTGCACATGAGCGTGTTGAGGCAGAGAGCGGATCAACAACTGAGCATCAGAGAGCAGGTGTAGATGGAGCTAGGATTTGAATAAAAACCATTGCACTCCAATGTCGACATTCACTCTAGGACATTCTGCTCCTTCTTGGACATGGTTTTTATATTTTTGCAAGTGTCCATTTGATTGCTACTTAATATATACATACATATGAGTATACATATGCCCTCAGACATCCTTTATTTGTAATGTCTATTCTGCCTATTAAAAAATGGTTTAAGGTAAGGTTTGCCTGATATTAAAACTAAAAATGACTGGAGAACATGAATCGTATAAATGAGAAAGAGGAGGAAATTGTACCAGAAGCTGAGGGCAAGGTGGCAAGATGTTGGCTGCGCTTAAGTTTATCTTTGAACTTCCGGGTAGCAAAGAGAAGGAAACAAGAAGCCTCTTCTCTTTTTCATTTCATGTCTATGTCCCACTAAATGTTTCTAACTTGCCTTTCCTTGCAGTGTATCCACAGACCATGGGCTTTGCTAGCTGTGGGGGAGGACCAGGGCCCCCATCTTTCTCACTAGGACAGAAGAGAAAGGGAGAGTGGATCAGTTTCTACATTTTGAGTCTGTGCTAACCCCTGAGGGGTGAGGGCATTGTGTGTGTGTGTGTGTGTGTGTGTGTGTGCAACTAATGATGTTTTCAGGGATCTGACCTTACAAAGTCCTAACTGGCTGGAGTCCTGGACTCAGTCCACTACACTAGAGAAGGCCCTACAGAGATTGAGGTCCATCCCTAGTAGGATCTGATTTACATAACTACGCAGTCTGTAGAAAGGCAATATGTAACCAGAGGGAGCTTTGAAGAAATGAGAGGAGACTGGCATTGTTACCCAGGAGTACGGCACATGGGTTGGGTCTGAGTGCTCTGGAGTCAGATGGAACTGGGTTCAGATCTTGCCTCAGATTGCCTAGAAGTTTACACTGGCTAGACAACGAGACCACCTCATACGCTATTTTAGCACCAATTGAGATAGTGTATGTGAAACAGAATAGTCAGTGCTTGGCACATACTAAATTCTTCATAAATGGCAGTGTCATCCATGCTGATTTAGAGAGATCTTATTAAGTTGATTGTCCCATTTGTATACCGCATTATGCTTATGAGGATTCAAATGCAACATATTTCAGCTGCATGTGAAGACATTACTATTGTTCATCAATTTCTAATTTTCTTTTCCTCCTGCTCAGATAGAAGACTACCCTTCCCAGCTTCCCTTGTGGTAGGGAGAGTCATGAGGCTTGTTTGGGCCAATGAAACGTGAGTGGAAGTGATGTGATCACATCCAGCTGACAGAGTGAAGAAGGCTCGGTTGGGTCTCCAGTTTCTGCCGTGCACCAGCATCCTGGAGCCACAGGTTGAAGTGGCTTTGCCCCAGCATGGTTGAGCTCTGTTAGCCTGGGGTCCTCAGTGACTGGGTGGAGCTGAGCTCTCCTCCATACCATACCACCATACACACGTGCACACACAGACACACACACACTCACACACTCCCCATGCTGGACATGTAATGTGAGCATGCAAGAAAAACAAACCGCTGAAAATTTCTGTTAGTTACTACCTAGCCCATTCTGTCTTGACTAGTACAGAATCCTAGTATCCACAGGCAAATTTGATTACAGTGGAAACGAACATCTCAATTTCTATTGAAATGAAAATCAGGGCTCATAAAATTGTGATAATAACCTTGCTTGCACTCTTATTGAGAAATTATAACCTTCCATCTAAGAAATACTGAGATCATGTTAATCAGAGTGAGGTGTTTTTCTGTTAATACTACACATTAAATAGTTTTCATTTCTATTATGTTGTTCTTGTTACATTTAGATCTTGGAAATGTTCCTTAGAGTCAAGCATGTATCTCACCACAAATTTATCAAGTAGTACAAAGCCTACATATGCAAAAAAAATCTATATCTATATTTATGGTTAATATTTGACACTTATGTAACTCAGGCAAAAGATGACTCTGGATAAAGATGAATCTGGGGTCTGGCCTGTGGTTTTAAGGATGCTGCCACACAATTTGCCATCTTTGAGAAGCTGCAAGAGGATTTGTCAGGAAGGGTTCTGCACTGTCTCCCCTCCTCCTCCCATGCATGTAGCAAGTGGGTCAGGACTTTACCCTGCATCGTGGAGTGAGACAGTCTCCAGCGGAAACGCACCCATAACTGAAGGAGAGCAGAGGAGAGTACACTGCTGTCTGGCGCAATGGTTCTCACATTTCAGTGTGCATCACTCTCACCTGGGGAGCTGGTTAAGCAAAGGTTGCTGCGCTCCACCCTAGAGTCTCTGATTCAGTTTGTTGGGGGTGGGGCCCGAGAATGTGCATTTCCAACAAGCGCTCAGGTGATGCTACTTCTGCTGCTCCAGGAACCACACTCTGAGAACTGCCACTCCAGGGCCTTGTTTGTCCAACTGTAGTCCACGTATTCACAGTGTCTGCATCCCTGGTGAAGTGTTTTCACAATAAGGCCTGAGAAGCGTTGCATTGGAGGAAAGAGAAGTGTTTTCGGGCACAACAAAGAGTTTTTGAGAACTCAGCTGCTGCCAGTAATGGCTCAGGCTCCCTGGTGTCTATCAGGTTCAGGCATTGTCTGTTTCCGTTTTGTGATCACACTGAATGAGTCTTCAGGCTCCAGTAATCCCCAGGTGGAAGTGAACTTCCCAGATCTGAGTGCCCGTCACAAGTCACCTATTTGCACAACACTGCGTTAGAAGGTACAATCCGTCTACAGTATATTGTACAATGTGGTGCGTACCAGCTTTGCGTTTCAATCCTGGCTTCCTTAGTTTGTCTCTTTGTGATTTTGGACAGAATAATCTCCCTGAGCTCCCTTTTAAAAGGAGTCTGATAACAGGATTTACCTCTTAGGATTGTTGTGTATTGTTAACGTGCATGAAACTCTTGGAACAATTGTGGGCATATAGTAAGTATTCCCTAAACGATAGCCGTTGTTATATTCTCCTATGAGGCTTTCCAGCCTCCCCTTCTATCGTGATTTCTTATACAGATGTCTAAACACAGACTGTGGGCTGTGCTAATTGTTGAACTTGCAAAAAAAAAGTCTCATTCATCTATGTCTTGATAGCACAAGTCCTTTCAGATGCTAGATGCTCGGTAAGTGTTGGCTGCATGAACGAACGTGCAAGTGTCTGTGCTGTCTGTGTGCTCTCTCTACCTTCGGGGTGGGGGGTGTGTCTCTCCAGAACCAGAATGCAGGACTGGGAAAGATCCAGTGTCGTCAACAGGAAGTGGTCTCTCCAGTCTCCCTGCTCTTGGAACTAATCTGCCATCAGAAAGAGCAAAGTCAAGATGCTGTCCAAATCTCAGTGGGACCTCGGGGTGAGAAGTCACATCCAGGACAAGACAGCCAGGGAGAAAGGGCTTAACACCAAGGGCTATGGGGAGCTGACACCAAAACCCAGCCGTGGGCTGTCTGCCTCATGCTGTCTCCCAGGGGTGAATGCATTATGTTTGGCAGGTCCTGAAACTCACGTCCCATGCAGGCTGCCACGTCTCCTCCATCCCTTCCCCTCTCCACCACCATCACCTCCACTTTCTACCATCCTGAAAGGAAGGAAAACCCAAGGGAGGGCCCTGGCCCACTATGGACAGCTGTGACATCACAGACTATAAGACTGTCGCTTTATTTGACTCTAGACTCTACATTCCCTAAGCGTAAGAACTGCCTGGTTTGTTCACTTCAGCATCCTGACAAAAACTCTCTCCTTGACCAAACTTTCGTCAGGCTCCTCAGAGCCCTCTCTTCTGCTGAGCCTCAGCCTTGGCGCCTGTCCTGTCTGTGGTCTGCCTAGCACTGTTTTATCAGTATCCTGCTAAGTGAGTTTAGTGGGGATCCCTCTACCCTAGATATCTGGTCAAGTTCATCCCCCGTCCTTGATGGATAGGCCTTGACCTGCCTTCAGCAAGAATATTGTAAAGTCGGTTTAGCAAGGATCCCCCGTCCTGAGTGATGTTCCGCCCACTGACCCTCCACACTCTGCTTATTGGCTATAAATCAGCTCTCTTTGCCGTGTTTGGAATTGAGCTTGACCTTTCTCCCCTCTTGCGATAGTCTTGACCCCTATTGCAACAGTCCTGAATAAAGTCTTTCTTCTCATATTAACAAGGGTCTGAGTAATTTTTTCCTTATCAATCCCCAGACTCAAGCACAGTGTGTGGCCCATGACAGTGTGACACATGAGAGAGAAGAGTGTTCCGATTCAGAGAGCTCTGTCCCTTTCTAGCTGTGTGACCCTGGGCAGATTACTTAACCTCTCTGAATTGCAGTTTCCTCTGGAAAACGGTGGTAACAGTTATACCTGCCTCAAAGGGTTTTTTTGAGGATTAGACAAAACTATGCATAGAATCCTTGCAGCACTGGGTCTGGCATCCTGCAGGCAGGGAAGGCCTGAGGGGAGAAGGGGGCTCAGAAAGGTGGGCAGGCCCAGATGTACGAGCTTTTTCTATCATATTAAGGAATCGGGAATTCGAGCACCATAAACAACCCCCTGAAGGTTCTCTCCTTAAGCTGCCTCTTAGCTGCCATATTTTTGAAAACTGTGTTCAAGTGGCAGCTGCCACAATGAAGCTTTGTGTTTGGTGATTACTTGCCTCGCTAACAGCTGTCGGTTCCTCCTAGAACTCTGTTTACCTAATTGGGTTAGGCTGGTCCGCAGACAAATGGGCTTTGATATGATAAACGGTTCAGGAAAGCCAAAAGAGAAGGCAGACAGCGCTAATTTCCATTCTATCCAGGGATAAAGGAAAAGGTTCCCAGCTGTGAGGAACCACCAGATTAGAAGCAGATTTCTGATTGTCAGCCTGCTGGCAGATAATCTTGTCAGCATGACCTGCAGAAGTGGTAATCATCTGCAATTATGTACCAGCCATTCTCTGAGGACACGCGAACACTTTCTAAATATTTCCCTAGGCTCAGTGAGGCAGAGATGCTGCGATATTATCATTTTGCAATTAAAAAGTCATCTTCAAAGAACCACTTTAATCATCTTTCTCATGCTGCACATTTGGGAAGCATCTCAAGTTGAAATTTCAAGAGGGAAATGTTACCTGGTGGTGTTACACAAACACCTGAAGGCTTGCTCCTTGCATGTGTGTTTCTACCCTGGCCAGTTTGTTGGATTTTGGAGCAGTGCAGCTTTGGTTTCCTTTGAAATGCTGCACCGTCAGATGTAGTAGAACAAACACGCTTTGGCCCATGCATCCTTCAGAACCAGCAATACCTTGGGGAGTCCTAAAGGTAAAGAGAAATAATGGCCACCAACTCCTTAAGTCACTCCAGAACTTCATACATGTCTGGTTGAAGAGTGTATCTTACTCATGGGCTCCTCAGCAAAGGATTTCCTTTTCCTGTTTCAGAAATCTTTCTAGAACTGAGACCAGGAGGTTTGTCAATCACTAATGACACTAACCTCTGTGCCAGGGGTTATGGCGAGGGCCCCTGCTAAGAACCCTGGGAACTGTAGGTTCTACTCCCGGCTTTGAAAGCCACTGACACTGCATGACTTTAGGAAATTCATTTAACCTTTGTGAAAACCTTTTCCCCTCTTTATCTAAAATGTCTGCCTTCTAAGAGTGTTGAGAATACCAAATAAGATAACATAAGTAAAAGTAGTTTGAAAAACGTAAAAGGATATACATATCTGGGGAAGGATTTTTATCATGTTATTTGGGACGGAGGCCTAAGACCAGGCATTCTGACCTCTTTTCTCTGCTGACCCAGAAGTACATTGCCCCATTATCCATGCTTGCTCCCCTCCAGAACTGAAGGGGAAAGTGCATGGTATACATACTCTCTTTCTCTGTCATCATTTGCCCGTCATGATTGGTGTTCATTGATCCCAGAACTCATTCAGAGCTGAGTCTGTCTCAGCACCACACTCTGGACAGCCAATTATAATTACGATAGTTCAGTTATAGTGGCCATCAGAAATGAAATGAAACCTGCATGGACCTCTAACTCCTTGATGCCTCATCTGACTCCCCTGAAACTTACAAAAGGGGGGACTGGATCCCGCCCAGCAAAGCGTGCTTTTGCTCAAGAAGTATTTTAGTCTCTCAGGAGGGTCCCCGTTGGGAAGGGTGTCAGACAGAGTGATGCTCACCAAGCATTGTCCCTGTTTCCCAGCGCTGCCGTTAGGACCCGTGGTACTAGCGCTGGCCAATAGCCTTTGAACAGAGGTGGCTTGTGTCACTTCTGGGCCAAAGCACAGAAGATCCTCCTGGCAGCTCTTCCCTGGGTCTTACTACAGAGAAGGCCATGAGCCTTGCATGGCACGGCTACGGGATGGTAAAGTCTTCATCATCTCAGGCTCCTGGGGGACAGTGCTTGGTCTGTTGTTGGACAGTTTGCTTGGTCTGTTGTAAACAAGGTACTACAAACGGAGTGGCTTAAACGGCAGAAATGTTTTGTCTTACATTCTGGAGGCTAAAAGTACAAGATCAAGGTGTCATCAGGGTTGGTTCCTACTGAGGGCTGTGAGGAAGAAGCTATTCCATGCTACTCACCCAGCTTCTGGTGGTTTACTGGCAATTTTTGGCATTCCTTGGCTTCTAGGAACATCCCCACACTCTCTGCTTTCATCTTCACTTGGCTCTCTCCCTGCATGTGTTTCTGTCTCCAAACTTCCCCTTTTTATAAGGACACCAGTTGACCCACCTCATCTTAACTAGTTACATTTATAATGAGCTTACTTCTAAGTAAGGTCACATTCTGAGGTACTGGGCATTAGGACTTCAATAAATGAATTTTGGGAGGACACAATTCGACCCATAACAGACAGTATGGATCCACATTGGATGTGTTGCATGAACAAAAACCAAACTTTTGTTTTGTTTGAAGCAACTGAGATTTGGGAGTTGTTTGTTATGTCAGCATTGTCTTACTTGTCCTGATTAACACCGTAAGTTTAAATTATATGCACGCATTGTCATCAGCTGGCCCCTAAGTGGGCACGAAGTGGAGAGCAGCATTTCTTCTGAGAGGTGGGCTCTCCCAGAGGTGACTGCCTGATGCGTTGCTGACGCGTCACTCTCACACAGCCCCACAGCACTGCATCCACCTGGTTGGCCATCTAAGGGGCCTGTGCAGGCTGTCCATGCCTCATTTTTAACTCTCCAGGAAGAATCATGAAACAGAGGAAGGAAGAAAAGAAAAATGCTCTTTTCTTGGCACCAAAGGGGCAGATAATCCATTTGTTAGCATCACTGAGTTTCAAAAAAGAGTCTCCAGAGATCTTCTAGTTCAAGCAATTTACCTATGGATGAGGATATTGGGGTCTTGACAGGTGAGGTGGCCACTTGTCCAAGGTCATGGAGTGAATAGGAGGCAGAGCTGGGATTGGGACCCAGGGCTCCTCTTCCAAGTCTGGAGAGGGATGTTGGAGCAAATGAGCGGGGCCAGAGACATTGGCTTTGAGCACTCCTATGGTTTGAATGTTTGTGCCCCCCAAATTCGTATGTTAAAATCCTAAAGTTGGATGTGTTGGTATTCGGAGGGGAGGTTTGGGGGAGGTGATTAGGTCATGAGGGTGGCGCCCTCATGAGTGGGATTCATGCTCTTATAAAGGGGCCCCCAGAGCTCCCTAGTCTTCCACCCTGTGAGGAGCCATGAGGAGTCTGGGGGGAAGAGGGCCCCTCAGCCCAGCATGCTGGCGCCCTGATCTCAGGCTTCCTGGCTCTAGAACTGTAGGAAATAGACTTCTGTTGTTTATAAGCCAGTCAGTCTGGCAGCCCCAACAGACTAAGACAAGCAGCTTGTGTTTAAGTGATGAGGATCAAGCTAAGTGTGATTTTCGCAAAGCTGAATGAGAAAGATAAATCTCTTGCAATAATAAGAATGGGGCACTTGCAGTGTGGCTACTACGAATTGAGGTATGATGTGAGTATAAGGCGCACACCAAATCTTGAGGACTTAGTAGGAAAAATGAATAATTCTTTTAATAATTTACATATGAAGTGAAATTAAATATACTATTAAAATTAATTTCTTTTGTTTCTTTTTACTTTTAAAAAAATGTAGCTATTAGAAAATTTAAAGTAATTCCAAAAGTCCCATGCACCCCTATGTTCATCGCAGCATTATTTACAATAGCCAAGACATGGAACCAACCTAAGTGCCCAGCAACTGATAAAGAAGATGTGGTATATATATATACAATGGAATACTACTCGGCCGTAAAAAAGGACAAAATCGTCCCATTCACAACAACATGGATGGACCTGGAGGGTATTATGTTAAGTGAAATAAGCCAGACAGAGAAAGACGAACTCTGTATGACTCCACTCATAGGTGGAAGTTAAACATATAGACAAAGAGAACTGATTGGTGGTTACCAGGGGAAAGGAGGAGTGGGGGGAGGGCACTAAGGATAAAGTGGTGCACCTACAACATGACTAACAATAATGGACAACTGAAATTTCACGAGGTTGTAAACTATCATAATCTTAATAAAAAATGTAGCTATTAGAAAATTTAAAGTTACGTATGTGGCTTACAACTATAGCGCACATTATATATATATATATATTTTTTTTTTGAGGAAGATTAGCCCTGAGCTGACATCTGCTGCCAATCCTCCTTTTTTTGCTGAGGGAGACTGGCCCTGAGCTAACATCCATGCCCATCTTCCTCCGAACGTTATATTTTTATCCGCTAGTGTGGACCTAAGGTGATTGCTGAAATGCAGATTCCAGAGCTCTGCTCTAGACCAAGTGAATGGAATCTTTGGTTTTGTGACTCAGGGATCTTAATTTAAAAAAGATCTCCAGGTAATTCTGTTGCAGACTACATTTTGAGATTAGAACATGGCACCAGTTACCTAGAGATAGTTGGTGACTGCCCCTTAAGTTCACCACAGGTTGCACCATTCCCTATTGTCCTCCAGACATTGAAGCTGAGCATCCCTTGCCATTTACTATAAGACAAACATCAGCACAAGTGAGAGAAAGATGACAGTGAAATATTTTTATTTATTTACATCTCAAACTTTTGGGAAAAAATAGGAATCATTTTCACTTTCACAAATACTTCTCATTTTTCTTAAAACAAAATATCCTCTCTGTTTATTAGGCAATGTGCATGAATCATGAGGATATAATGC